TCGGGGTTGCCCCCGGGGCTCCCAAAGGGGTGTTGGTGTGCTGCAGCCAGGCCGGCCGGCCCGTAGCTCGGGCGCAGGTGGGAGCCTCGGGCTCCACGGGGCCTGGTTGGGAGTGCCGAGCCGAATTCCCTGGTTATAGATTTGCAAACGTTTGTCATAAAACTGTAGGAAGAGGAGAAAAAAGAATGCTCTATTTTCAGGAAGCAATAATAATTAATATTCTTTGTATTTGCAGAGACAGGAAAGCTTTGCTAATGAACATTTTTGGTGATTTACTATAACACACTAAAGCAATACTTTATGACCAATGAAGTAAAAAATTAATATCATCTCATGTTGATGGTCATTCGTCATTAGTTTTAAGGAACCTACTTTTAATTTGGAGATTTTTACTTAATTAGTGTCACACATCTCAAGGCTGTCTTGTGTCAACTGTTGCAATGACTTTATGTCTATGTGCAATACAGAACAGGCTGCTAATAGAGCCTCAGCTTGAGAAAAATGATCATCAGGTGAACAAAAGAAGTGTTAATTACTTTCACAATTAAAGTACCTAATACCAGCAATATTGTAACACAGCAACACTTATGTTATAGATATTTACATATTGAAAGCGTATAAATGTCAATGGAAAAACGCATGTAGATGTTCTTCATAGAACAATACAGTGGTGTAACAGAACAGCTGGAGACAACACAGAATACGGTATCTGGACCTCTGCTGCATACCAGCTCTATTAGACATTATAAAAATGTGTTTGACTATATTTACACACATCATCCGTTGATATATATTCCGTTTTATCATATTGCAGCTGGGCTCTTCATTAGAGTGCAAAAATTCGGTTAAAATAAGGGGATGGTAGGAGTTATTTACTGGATCACATCTGTAACAAGCTCTGAAATGTTGATGGAAATCCTTCCACGGCCCCCATCTTATGAATGTTTATGCATCCACACACAACCTCAGAAATGTCTATGGATTGAGACAGAATTTACTAAGTTCATGTTTGCAGCAGTAGAATTGGAATTCAAACCCAGAAATAGTTCTCAAGTCACAAATAACATGACATTTCACAGGGTTTGATGAGATTTATAACATGACACAAGTCTTTTAAAAACCAGAAAGGACTAGAACATATACTGACACCTTAACTTTTTATTTTAAACCGCAAAAAATGAAGTTTCCATCTCATTTGCAATCCATTAAGGCTTTTTAATAGATGAAGTTAGTATCAACATGCATGTTTTATTTATGATTTTGGGGTAGAAATTTACCATTAAAATGCATAACTGTATTCTATAACAACATGAAAATTTAGCTTAGAGGGCCAACATTTTCGAAGTATTTGAGCTTTTTTTTTTAAAAAAAAAATGTTATTAAATCTGCATTACTTATTCATTTTAAAGATTATCGGTGTAGGTGCGGGAGAGCAGCCAGGGTCGGGCGGTGCTGTGGAGAGCTCCCTCCGGGGGCCGGCCCCGCTCCCCTGTGTCCTCTAGGCGGAGGAGCGGGGGCTTCTCGGCCCTGACCGCGTCCTCCTGGTGGTCCTGACCGCAGCTGCTGGTGGAGAAGAAAGAAGAGGCATCCATCGAGTGTGGAAGAAACCGCCAGGCAAGAGCCAGGGAGAGGAGGAGCAGAAGTGGACTGAAGAAGGTGCAAGAGAGAGGCACTCCTGGGCAGGGGATCTCCCTGTCTTGGGCGCTGCAGCATCCCTGGGCCTTTGGGGAGGTTTTCTGTGACCCTGAAGCGGTTACTCGGCTCAATCCAGTTCCCGAGATTTGTAGAAGCTGCTCCGATTCTGCGTTAAGATGACAGGACTTCCCCAAGTTGTCTCAAAACTGCTTTTTGTACCTTGATGTTGCTGCACCAGCTGTGGGGGGCGGAAGGGCTCTGCAGACATGCAAAATGTCCTTTGAGGCTGTGTGCGTGCCGGGGAATGAGTACTCGGGAGCAGCATTTTGAGGTGGTTTCCCCTGTTCTGAAAGCTTCTCTCCCAGCACCTGCACGAGGGAGGAAGCCGCTGAACCTCAGCCTCTGTAAGGACATGTTCCTCCTCTCTGTCCCCACCCTTTTCCCAGCTATTCAGTGCTGGGGGTACCCAATAAAATGCTTTCTCCAACAATGTGTTAGTGTGTTAGCTACTTTCTTGCGCAACTGTGCTTTAACTTGTGCCGACAAAATTGCACCTCACGTGCTGCTTTAACCTTCGGCAACCACTGGAATTTCGGCCGTGTGTGCTGGTCCTGGCTGGTTGCAAGGGGAATCCCAGGGAAATCAGGTGGTGGTTTCCAGAGACGAGTTCGGTGTAGGGCAGTGTTGCTGCAGGAGCGATGTCTGTCGGTTCAGCTTTGGTCTGAGCTGTAGCTGGCAGGGCACTAGTTCAGGGCAAGGGGATGGACAGTGGTAGGGGCAGAGCTGCGGTTGCACGTGTTGTGCAATGGGACTGGTGTGCAGAGCAAATTGGGGCTGGGTTTTTGAGAGCAGGCAAGGCCCCGGCTCTCCCTCACCATCGTAGCCTCCGTCTTTCTGCCTCTCGAGGCTGAGGAGGGCCACTGCAGCATTCCCATTCGCTTCAGAGAAGCACGACAAGCTTGTGCCTTAGGGAATTCAAAAGAAAGGGTCACAATTGCAAACTGGTGACTTTGAGCGCCACTTCCACAATTAAGGTGTTCTTCGGGGTGGACTGGGGTAAAACTGCTCCCCAGTCTGGGGCAAAAGCAGGAAAGGTTCCTTGAGCGCCCGCCTAGGTATTTCCTCGCTGCTGGGTTTTTTTCCGGCTGAAACCTACCCGCGGCCCCGGATGGCCGGGGTGGATGCCCGGCCGGGTTGGCGTGTGGGCGGGAAATGGGTCTGCCCGGTCTCCCTTCGGTGGAGCTCCTCCCGGGCCTGCGGCAGCTTGTGCGTGCCCTTGCTCCTGGTGGACGGGGGGAGGAGAGGGAGGTCCCGAGGGGGTGTCTGGCAGCGATGGGTTAAGCACTTATGGCGTTGCTCCGGGATGAGGGGTGAGGATGATGGTGCTTCCTTGGGAGGGGAGTGGCATCCCCCAAAGAAAGCAGTGAATGAAACACTCATCCGTACTTAGTGCTTAAATGGCAGAGATGCAAATACGCTTGTCAGTTCCTTGCCTAGTGTCACCTTGCTACTCTTGATCTTGTTACTGAGTTTTCTTGGTGCGTATTTGTATTTTTTCTTTGGACTAGATCATCTGGGAGCAAAGCAGGACAAGTTTGGGCCCCTGAAGGATCAACAGCCTTCAAGTGTCTCATCTCAGCCAGATTCTGTGCAGCTCTCTTAAGCAACATCTCAGATTGTGATGAGACATTTAACTATTGGGAACCGGTAAGCGGCTTTGTCTCCTTGGAGGTCCTTGGGAGCTTGTAGTTGGCCTGTGCAAATGCAGATTTATCTGGAACCTTGTGCAAATCTCTGTGTTTCAAAGAGAAATTTTCTTACTGAAGAATTCAGAGATGGGAAATGCAAAACTGTCTGCTCTGTGTTGCGTATTTATTTATTTATGTAATCATTTTCCATTGTAGACACACTACCTCATTTATGGAAAGGGGTTTCAGACATGGGAATACTCTCCAGCCTATGCCATCCGTTCCTATGCTTACCTGTGGCTTCATGCCTTACCAGCTTTGTTCCATGCTAGAGTTCTACAAACTAACAAGGTAAATCAGATGCATGAAAGCTTCTTTTGTGCTGAATAAACATGCCTTTAGTCTGTGTTAAACAGCTGCTTTGTTTGTCCTCAGAGGTAAGAGAATTAGTGTTTACAAAATACTAATTTGTTTACAAACACTAACCTCCCTGTAAAGATTTGCAAGGGTTTGTCAGCTGGCTCAGGATCCAAGGCAAGGTGATTGGGAAGTTGCAGGGAAATGCTGTCAGGCTCCACTTTGCTTGAGAAGCTGTCCCAGAGGGGCTGGTAGCTCCATGGCCTTTTGAGTGTGTGCAGGCTTGGGGACAGTTACCTGACAGCCGTGGACTCTCGTTCACCCCTGTGAGTTTCACCTTGATGCTTTAGAAGCCCGGATTGTTTCCTATGGCAGCTATCAATGACTGTTTTGATTTTTTTTTCCCATACACTATAAAAAATAAATTAGTATTTTGCAAGGGATATTGTAAACTGAACTCACAGAAATGTAAAAGAAAAAGCACTGAATGTGCAGTCTGCTTGCATATCCATTGCCATACTTGGCATGTTTCTGCACAACAGAAAACAGAAGAGGGGTGGTTCTGGTAAGTTCGGTGGACTGTGTTCACTTTCTGTGTTGTAAGGGACTTCAGTCCCCATCAGGGCTAGGCCTTGAGCTGCTGGGATCTTCAGCATCCCTTGATGCAGGATCTGGGTCTACAAGAATAGGCTCATCCACCACTGCCAAACTTGCTCCATCCTGTTCAGAACTTTTGTTTTTGGGACAGACTTGTTAGTAACAGGTACATAAGCTTCATTGCAAACCTTGGTCAGACTCTGAGTATGTCTCCTAGGTTCTTATCTTCTATTTCCTCCGATGCTTCCTGGCCTTCCTGAGCTGCATTTGTGAACTCTACTTCTACAAGTGAGTATTAGAAGCTGTCTACAGTGAACGTTTTGAAGCAACGTGAGTAACATATTCGGTTATTGCCACAGGAAATACACTCTGACGCTCATTTGCAGATGGGTCTGGTACATTGGGCTACTTCACAGTGAACTTTGAAAGTATGTGTTCTCATGATAACTTAATGAAATATTGGCCAGAATTCCACTGTTAGGACAAAACTGTATTTTCAGGTCTGCCACCCACATCTCCACTCCAGCACTTTGTTGACTACACGTGTTTTCTCACTGATACCAGCAAGCAGGGTGGGAGCGTTGCAAACTGAGCTCTGTTGGAGGAGAGGCTGGTGCCGTGTTTGCTTATCATAGTGAATTTTAGTGGAATACATTGATTGTTGCTGTCTGTAATGAATCTGCCAATGGTGTTTACATTCACCAAAAGCAGTAGCCTGAACATACAATTAGCTTGTCTAAGCTGGATTTTTTTTTTTTTTTACCTGCTGCCTTTTCATTTGTGGCTTTCAAACTATTACCTTGTACGACTTTTATGCTGGCAATAGCCTGGTTTTAAGAATGTGAGCTTTGGCTTTTTGCATGATGGGATTTTGCGAGGGCTGAAAATCTGAGATAGATTGATGTTGCTACAGCAGTGCAGACTCCCTAAATTCCTGAGATTTGCAGGAGCACAACTGACACTGGCAGAAGACTAGTCTCTTCTAGAGTTTTGCACTAGTGAAACTTAGGATGTGAAATCCCAGGCCGGAGGCAGTCATACTGTTCTTCAGGTGGCCTTCAGCAGCTGGGTAATGAGAATCACCCACCTTCAAGCTCTTGGGATGCTCCACGGGTTGTTGGTGGTTCTGCATGCATTGGGTACTGTTCTTTTATGTACTGAGGATATTTTCGTATGGTCTCTAATTCTCTCTTGCTTCCTTAGGGCCGTCTGCAAGAAGTTTGGGCTACATGTGAGCCGGCTGATGTTGGCCTTCTTAGTACTCAGCACTGGGATGTTTTGCTCATCTGCAGGTAAGTTTGCTTAGCAATGATGCTAATAATTACTTTTTCCATAGAAACCAAAGACCAAGAGAGAAGCCAAAGGTCCAGAGAGAAGAAAATCCACAGCGCTAAATACCTCTCTAGCAATTGTTTGTTGTGTTCTGTTCCAAGTATTTCTCATGGCAGGTGTGATGACAGAGTAAGTGTTGATTCAAATGATGTTCCCTGTATCACTCTCTTGTATGTTTCCATTTCCAGGGCATGTTTATTTCTATTACTGCCTCCAGCCTCTCTGCAATGGGCCATGCCTTTTAAACAGGGTCTTGGCCTACCTTCCTTGAACATATTTTAATCCAAGGAAGGAGGGTCATATTTTGGCATTGTCATTTGCCTTTGAGTCCTGTCCTTTCTGGCTGGTCGCACCCATCTGCCTAGCCAACCACTGTAAGACTTGTAAAACACCTGCTGTAGGTATTGGGTAAAGTGCAAAGAGACACTTTGAGCAAAGGTTTCCTGCATTGTATGCATACAGAAACTTAAAGGAAAATACCACAGCTTATGAATGCTGAGATTTGCTATTTTACCTTTTTTTTTTTTTATGGTGAGTAGAGACAGGACTTTCCCTTCATTGTTTTTGCAGTGTCATAGGTCTCCTCGTTCTTCAACTTTCCACCTCACATTCTCTGCTGACACTTGAGCAGGTTCATTTCACTTTTCTCAATCTAGCAGAATATAGAGAGTGCAACAAGTGTTTTAAGTGGTAACCATGGACGCTGTCAACTGGTCACCACTGCGGCGTGACACCAAGGAAAGAGGCCTTCATGCTTAAAGGAAGTATTTCTGGTCTTGGCAGAACAAGAAGAAGATTCCTCTTTTTCTTTTTTGCTTTCACTGAAATGACAGTGTCCAGTATAGCATGCCAGCTCCAGTGGAACAAATGAGAGATGATTAGCCTGATCTTGGCCTTGTGCAGTTCTCCCGCTGTGGGAAAGCTGTGATAACCCCTTTCTTTCCTTGTGTTTCAGCTTTCCTCCCAAGCAGTTTTTGCATGTACACCACGGTGATTGCCATGACTGGCTGGTATATGGACAAGACCTCTGTAGCAGTGCTGGGGGTGGCCGCTGGAGCCCTTCTGGCCTGGCCCTTCAGTGCAGCTCTTGGGTAAGGAGAGGGGGGCTCAGGAGTTTTGTACTTTGTCAAGTGTTTCTTGCCTGGCTGGGGAGAAGGTAGGTGCTGGAGAGCTGGAGGAAGAAACTAGCAGGGACTGAGCTGCCCACCTAGTCCAGGATCATTGCTACAGGCTTCCGTAGCCCGATTTCTTTGCTTTTGAAGAACTTAGGTTGGGAAAATTTCCTGACCCAAACACACTGAGAGTAAGAGTAAGACTCGAGTTGGATGACTAGAATATGGAGCCCAGTGAAGTGATGGTTCTCTTTCAGCTACTGCCTTGTTTGCTTTGAAGGGGCAGGAAAACCTGCAGTGGGCAAAGACAGTCTCCAGTTGATACCTGGTCTCTGTTTCAGGCTTCCTATTGCCTTTGACTTGTTGATACTGAAGCAGAGGTGGAAAAGTTTCCTAAACTGGTGTGTGGTGTCATTGATCCTGTTTTTGGTAAGTGTCTGTAACAACACAAAGAGGGAATGGATTGGGATTGCAATAGAAGGGGTGGGTTCCATTAAGAAAGTCACATGGAGTTTTTGGGCAGTCCAGCCAAAAGTTTCTGGCACTTTAAATAATAGATACTTTTTTTCAGGTGCCCTTGGTAGTTGTGGACAGCTATTACTATGGGAAGCTGGTAGTTGCACCTCTCAACATTGTTTTATACAATGTCTTCACCTCTCACGGACCTGATCTCTATGGTGAGTTTAAGATAACAAGACAGGAAGGGAGACGGCGGTTTTCTTGCTACTGTCTTGCCACTGTGACCCACCAGGTCTTGATTGACGATCCTTTTTCTGACGTACTCCAAAGCAAAAACAGCCTGCAAGCTCCAAAGGGCTGCAGTTCCAGCATTTTGCCATGTGATGTCTCTCTCGAGCTGGGAATCCGCAGGTAACTGTAGGATTTCTCCACGCTGCGAGTTAAGCTGCTTTTGTTCACTTTCAAGTTCTGTAAACGGTCGTGAGATGTCTCAGCGTCACAGCAGAGAACTGTTAGTAGCAAACGTGTCTGGATGCTACGCAAGATGCACAAGTGATACATGTGTGTGTTTGTCAGCTTTAATTGAGTTCTTGGCTGTTGTTCCTCATAGTCAGGGTGCAGAACTTTGGGAAAGTGGGTAACAGTGGAGAATCCATAGTTCTTTCAGTTCACAGACTTCCTAAGTCCATGCTGTGCCTTGGGAATCTCCTTGCGTATTGGCAGTGTATGGCCTGGCCTTTGCTAGAAGCGGAATCTGAGGGTTACCATAAAGGCATCTAATCGGCAGGCAAATACCTGGTACTGGGCATTTAGAATACTGTGTGACCCAAATCTCAGGCCTTGATGTCAATGCTGTGTTGTTTCTTTGGGAGCTGCCGCTGCACTAAGTTGTTCATGTCATGTACTTCTAGAGCTGGAAAGTAGAAAAGTATTATAAGCAGGGTTTCAGAGGGGCTGGTGGAGACTTCAAGGAGCTTAGGATGCAGGGTCTCTTGTCATCTGTGTCATCTGTTTAAGCCCCATTGAGATATTCTAGGAGGGATTCATCAGTGGTGAGCAGCAAGGCTTTCTCTGGCAGTGCCCTGCAGGCCATATTTGTTGGTTCATTTGAAGGGCTGTTTTGGGTGGTGCTGAGTGGTGATTTGTTACTTGTGCTGTGACACAGCAAGGCAACAGCTGCTTTGCCATGGTTCTTCATCTCTGCAGGAAGGCTCTGAAGCCTGTTGCTGTGAATTTTCTGTAAGGAAACTCCAGGCTCTGTCCCTGATAGGTTTTGGCATGGGCTTGTACCTGACCTTTTCCACACTGGTGCATGAGTTGTTTCCAGAAGCCTCCAGGGACCAATCTATTCTGAAGTGTTTTATTCATAGTGACGTTCATGTAACATCCTCAGGCTAGTAAAAGAGCCTGCTTGAAATTGCTCTCTAATGCAATGTGGCCAGGACAAGCTGTGTGTTTAGAGAGCTTCAAAACACTTGGGAGAAATAGCACTATCAGGGGAGATGAAAGGCTGGCCAATGCCTTTTGGCTTTGGAACTGGGATTTCCCAGCTTTCACATGATGGGAGCAGGGACTGCTGGAGGTTGTAGGGTCATCAACCCATATCATCTTCAGTGTAAGCACCGCAGTATTTTTTCTTTTGCCTGCAGACTGGAGTTCTGGAGACAAGGTTCGACTTTTTTTTTTACCTTTTTTTTTTTTTGTCTTTAGCAATATACTTCTTCTGGATCAATACAGTCTGTGCAATGCATATTTTCCTGGGGTGATTACATTTCTGCATCCAAGGGAAAGTATCTTCTAAGTGTACATCCCAAAGCCTGATTTTGAGGCTTTGGGATGGTTTTGGGTACATATGTTCTAAGAATGCACAATTTGTGACAAAAGTTTTGTCCCACTTCCTGTGTTCAGAGCCTTGGCTGTGACTTGCAGTGCGATGGCACTTTGGGAAGCTTTGTTCAACTTGGGCAGAATGTGCTGGAGCTGTTTGTATGACACCTCTCTCTGTTGTGTCCTGGTTCTTAAATAGAGTGAAAATAAATGAAATGCAGAAAGCAGACTGTTTATTATACTAGCACTGAATCAGACTTGCTTAGAATGAGGGCTGTGACTCACGATCAAATTATTGTGGCTTAGTTACTGCTTAACAGCTGAGCTACAGTTCCTGTCTACATGCAGGCTTTTAGCCTGTGACAAACACAGGGTGAGGCACCTTAGCTTAAGCCTATTTTACAACTCCTCTGCTTTGTCCTGTGCTGCCCTCACCATTGCTGTTGTCAGCAGCATGGTAGATTCTTAATTTCTATTAAATTGTGTTTGAGCTTGATTTCTAGAAGTGCTCCTGGAGTCTGTCACAGAGCATGAAGTTTGAACCAGTTTCTGGCTCAGTGTCTGACAATTGGCAATCCCCATGGAACCATAGTGCCATGAACACATGGGCCATAGTGTTCTTCCCACTGCTTTCATCAGTCTCTCTCCTACAGCCCACATTTGCTCAGCTCTAGCATGTGGGATACTTGCAGGAAGTTAAATCTTCTGTCATGGTCTGAAGGCAATGATGTGGAAGCGTGTTCCCATCAGTGCTGTGCATGGAGAGTTCTTTACTGTTCCTCCCTGCCTGAAAGACGTTCTGGGCCAGGACTTCTTGTATGCAATGGGGTTGTTCTTTTTTTATATTGCAGTTCTTTCTCAGATCACCTTGAGTCGTTGTGGATAACAAGAATAAAAGCATTTTGCCCTGGGAGGCATTGAGACTGAATGCCCCTGAATGGGTGAGTCATCACAGTGACCAAGCCTATTGCTTTTTGCCTGGTGTCTGTGAATTATTTAATATGCCTGTGTAATGCACTGTTCTCCTCCCATACTTTTTTTTTTTTTCTCCTCACTCAGAGAAGAAATTCCCTCATTGGAGAAGGAGGGGAGGTTCCAGTGCTTAGCCCTTAAGGGCAATTCAGTCACACTACAAAAAAATCTGAGAAAGTAGCCTTTTTGTTAAAGCTGTGCTTCAGACCAGCTGACCTTTTTATTAGCAGAGTCCCACGGGTCACCTCTGGGCCTTTAAGGCTGTATCTGGATTGTGGAGGAGTTGTGCTTCATGAAGTGTCCTTCATTCCTGAGTCCCAGGCTACCAAATCTACGAGAGTAGAAAGAGCCATAATTAATTTCCTTTACTTTCCATAGCAGCCAGGGCAGGTAGAAGGGAGACAGTATCATCCCTGGTACTGTCCTTTAAAGATCTGGAACTTGGCTGTGCTGTACATCTTAATTGTAGCCAGAAAACACTGGAGGGTAACAGTTTACGTCAGTTTCAGATGCTTTCTATCTAATCCTGGCATCTTTTATGATAAAGACGTTGTTGTTTAGAGCAGTGGGAGTGGGGAAGGAGCCTACGGAACCCAGTTCCAGTCCTTTTTTATATAAGGAGAGGCCTTGGTGCTCCACAAAAGTAGTTACTAGAGTGGCCTAACCACCGTTAACCCTGATGTAAGTCTTCAGAAACCTGTAGTATTGCCGTAGAAGAAAATCTGGAGGTGGCAGGGATGGCAAGAAACCAAAGCCCCCTTTACCCACACTTTTTCTCATGTCCATTGGAAGATTTACAGTGTGATACCCCAGGCAGGTTTTCCCTCACAGGTGTATCCCAGTCAGCAGCCCTGATTTTTAGGAAGGGTAGTATGCTTCAGTCCTAAAATTATCTGCTTTCTGCACACGTTGAAGACTTGTCACAGTGATTATTTAGAATTGCTGTCCTTAAATATTGAGAGTCACCAACAGAGTCTAGAGGAGGAGGAAGGGACATTGGCACTGTTGCAGTGTTGCCATACAGATAAGTCTGTCATGTCCATCACTTGACATGATCTTTCAATCTACCGTATCCCATATTCAGCCTTTCACAGGCTGAGGATTCTGCTCATGTGCGACTTGCAAAAATTATGAAGCAGGTGGAGGGAGAGAGAAGGTGAATTTCTAATAATTCACCTCCCTTAAGGCTTCCTACTCCCCAAAATCCAAATTGCTATTTGCTCTCAGCACTAATAGCTAAAGGTTTCCTAAATGAACCACAGTTGCTTGGACTTGTCCTTAGTAACTCCAGTGACATGTTTCTGACATTACTAGTGCAGCTTCTAATCATATTTAGCTGTAGGAGCTGCAGAGGTTTCGGGTTTTCCTTGCTGCTTTTCAGTTGTCTGATGAATTTCAACATGGACCCTATTTAAGTGGCTCTGATTGCAGGAAATTGCTGCGGCATGTGACACATGTCACAACAGTGCAGTGATTAAAGCCCCCGTGTGTCATTTACTGACTGATTGAGCTAATCACACTGAGAGAGTGGCAAATGTGTGGAGAGGAACTGGCATTCCTTATTGTTCAGGATTTTAAGCATCCTGAATTAGGAGTCCAAATAAATGGCAGTTGGACTGGAATTTCTTTCAGTTTACATCCTTCAAAGCTTGCAACCAATACCCGAGTATGTCACATTAGGAGGCAGAGTTGGCTTGCTCATGCTTGAAGCTACACAGTAAGAACGAATTGAAGTAGGGACATTTTAAATAGTGCTGACTCTAAGGAGGTACCAAAACTACCCTCTGGATGAACTTTAGTGGCAGAGTCTTCTTTGGGGTGAAGTGGGAACATGAACTTTTTTTCTTGTTCCCTTTTAGTACATTTTCTGTTTCCGCCAACATGAAGTATACGTCATCACTCCAGAATTATAATGATCTCTTATTAACATCGTGTGTTTTTGTTTTATTCCTCTGTTATTTCTCTGCAATTAGAAAGAAAGAATTTAGTGTCAAATTTCCTAGTTTTGCAAGTTTCCACCTCTACTTTCTTACTGTGTAGGCTTTCTTAACGCAAGGGTGAGTTCTGTGCCACTGTTAGAGTGGCCTATGGTTCATGAGCAGCAGATGTGACTATGATCCAGTGAAAAAGGAAGGAGAAAAATAATTTCTGAAAAGGAAGACAATGAAGTTTTTGGGGCAGACCTTATTGTGGGGTACTCTGCTGCTTTTGTATGGCTATTGACTAACTCTCATGCCACTGTTATGGCAGTTTTATAGGTGAAGGGCAGAAACATGAGACTGCTTTGAGATAGCTCTGGCTCATTCCATGGGACTGCATCCTGTGTCCAGCTGCAAGATCTTCTGTCCACACCTTTTCCATTCTTCATTTCCAGTATACTTGCAATGGGGAGAATTGACGTCTGCTGCTGATTATCTCAGTCTGTGTCAGTCAGAGAAGGAACAAAGCTGCTGTTATATCTAGATCTCATACATGTTTGTGTTTAAAAACTCTTGTTTCCTTTTCTCACCCTTTAGGTACGGAACCCTGGTCCTTCTATTTCATCAACGGCTTTCTGAATTTTAACGTGGCATTTATTTTGGCGCTGCTTGTGCTGCCACTGACTTGTCTCATGGAATGTCTGCTTCAGAAATTTCATGGTGAGCACAAGACAGCTGTGAGAGCCAAACACAGACAGCCTGAATCCCAGCCTTGTTACTAAAGGGAGAGCTTGCCTGCCAAAGAGCAGCTTTCCTTTATTGGAAGTGAAACTAGGTTCAGGGAAGGCCTTTGGAATAATAGGAAAGTTCCTAGATCTCATTACTCAGTTCAGTATTGACTTCAGAATGGAGTTGCTGTGTAGAAAGAGCATGCAGTGAGATGCATCTACTTAAGTGCTGTCTGCAGAAGGGCAGAAGCATGTTTTTCTCTTTAAGGATGATTCCTGTGTTCCCTGCCTTCACCTCAAAAAAGAACAATGTGTTATCAAGGCTGAACTATCCATACCCAGAGTAAGCTGAACAAGTTGTATGGCGCATAGCCTTCAGCCAGACATGCAAACGCATTAGAAATAGCCCTGTCAGAAATCTTGAGGGGGAAAGAAACTATGAACCCATTGTTGTTTCCATCTTACCTGCAGCTGGAAATGGTAGCCTTTATAGTTATTTGGGGAACCTTTTGCTGACTCTTCCATTGTTATTTTTTTATACCACTGCCAGAATGTTTTCTGCAGCAGCTTGAGAGAACAGAGGAGTTATTTCCTTTTTGATTGTTGGGGCTGAGCATACAAATAGGCATCCTCTGGTCTCTGCTGCTGCCGCTGATATTGGGATTGAACCTGGACTCTTCTATGCATTGTGAAAGGCACTCTTCAACTCGCAGGACTGAGCTGTGGCAGGACAGTCTTGCTACCCCATGCTTGGGGAAGTGTCCACATATGTGTGGATATACTGAGAGTAGAGAAAGGAGGAACCAGAATATTCCCTACTTCACGCTGGGCTTTTTCTTAAATAAAATGACATCAGTTTAAACACATGACATTTGGCAAGTGACTCTAGAGAGGAAAAAGGTGTTGAGGAAGCGTGAATTCTTCTCTGCTGTATTCCTATGGAAGATCCATTAAGCAGCAGCAGCAGCCTTCAGATTCTTCAGTCCAGTTAGTGCTTTGCTGTCTGATTTTTTACTGAATACAAGAAACAATAACATCCTTGCTGAAAATGTATGTTAATGGGTATTTGCTTATATCTGTTCCTTGGATATGGCTGATATACTGTCAGAAACCAGTAAAAGCTCGGTAGGAGATCCTGTAAATGCCAGATTTCCTACTGTTCACTTGGTGTTCTTGTACTTAACAGCAGGAGCGATTCTGCCGAGTGCTTTGTTCTTATTGTCTGTGAAATGCCGTTAGCTTAATTGCTTAATTCTGCTGTTGGGAGTAGCAAGGGGGCAGAATAGGGACTGAAAATTGTCAGGCACTGTAGAACCCTCCTCAGCGTGACTAAAATTCAGGGTAATTGTTGTTATTTTTGAATCAGTTATTTCCTCCGTCAAGCACAAGGTGCCTGAGAGACCTCTCATGCTGTTATTTTTGTAATGAAGCAATGAAGGTTGTGGAAACATCAGTCGCTTAACAACCATTTGTAAGTGGAAGGGTAGGTCCAGAGGAGATCCTTTCTGGTCTTTGTATGTATAGCATAATACATAGCAGGAAATCTAGTACTTCTGACTACCGGTTTAGACATGTCAGTACTTGATGGGTTTTGTCTCTTGCTTGGATTCAGTAACTCAGTCCCTTGTTTTCTGCTTTTGGTCTTCTGAGGTCTGTTGAAATGGTTCGTATTGTAGGAATCTACAAAAATTCTCTTATCAAAATTCTATACGGACTGTTTGCACATGTTACTTGGATTTTAGCAACATGGCTGATCAGAACATGGTGTGTTTGTCTTTGAAGGCAATGGTTTGGGTCTGAAGAATGGGCTATTGAATAGAGAGGGAATAGGATAAACTCATTCTTACATTACTACTTTGCTGAGTGTTTTTTTCTTTCAGTTCAGAATCTGGGCCGTCCCTACTGGCTGACACTATCTCCTATGTACATTTGGATTATGATTTTCTTCAGTCAGCCCCACAAAGAAGAGAGGTTTCTCTTTCCCATCTATCCCCTCATCTGTCTTTGCGGTGCTGTGGCTCTGTCTGCTCTTCAGGTAAGTTTTAGTGAACACTTTTTTTTAATAAGCTCATACCTTTAGGAAGCATAACTGCTAGCTGACTTCTTTAACATTGCTTCCCAAAGCTTGGGAACATTTGCAGAATGTCTGTGTCTGTGACACAATCTACAGTGATTACACAATTCAGGGCTGTCCTATGCATAACTTTTGGTCATTGTCTTTAATCTGTTAGCTGGTACAGTTTTAATTTTTGAACCATGTTTCACGGGTACATGTTTAGGCTGTGGAAGCAAAATGTACAGCTGTACTAATAGTGAAGTGTGTGTGTGTGTTGCTGATTTTACGAATTAAACCATAATCTTCCTGTACAGGTTGATTGAGAGTATGTGGAAAACTATTAGCCCACTGTAAGATGAGACATAAACTCCAAAATATTTGGGATTTCCCTCCTGAGTGTCATACAGAATGAGCTCATCTAATAATTTTGGACTTCAGTGCAGACTGCTTCACAGCCCAGCAAAGAAAGATCAAATTTCATGGTTTTATAAGGTGATCACATTAGGACCTTGTCTGGGATTGTGTGAAGTGATAAATGGTTGAGCATATTTCCTTGCCACTAGTTATTTCATGATGACTTTGAGTTGTTCTCCGATCCCAAGTGGGAATTTCTGGTGAGGAGCAGTTGTGATGTTGTAGTGCCAATACAATACAACAAAACATCCAAGAGGTGTCATGAGGATTAGTAACTTGCTTATAGCATTGTGCCTCCTTTGTCTGCTGTTATACAAGCTTTAAGGGGCAGGAATGTGTGTGTGTGTAGGAAATGCAATCTATTGTATCCTAGCAGGAATCCTTCACTGATTTGAAAAAGGAAAAGTGGTCTTGTTTAGGCATTAGGAAATTGTATCAGATATTTGGAAGAGCCAAAAATTAGATGTTTAGTAAATATCACTTGAAACACTTCATAGAGTAAAGCACTACTACAGATTGCTGTAAACCTTCCCAAAGCTTAAAATTATTCATCTTGCCTCTGTTAAAGTAGCGCAGGAATGCAGTCACTAGTCCCTGTTAGAGCCTGTTCCAGCTGTTCAGCCTCATTCTGCTATTACTCTTCTGTCCTGCTATGCACCACTGCTGGCTGTTCCTGTCCTGGGCTCCCCACCAGCATTGCTTGCACCCCTCAAATCACTCTCACTCTTCTCCTGGTCAGTTGCTATTTTGACTATTGATCTCTCATCACTGGTGATGCTTTGCAGTGCTCAGTGGGAGCACCTCAGATGAGTTTCAGTCCTTGCATTCGTACAGGATCAAGCTCTCTAATGTCAGCAGTTTTATGACTGAGCAGTTCTCTGACTTAGAATTGCTACGTGCCATCAGAACATTCATCAGAGGGCAGCAGTTTAGGACCTTTGCCAAATATGGCTTTAGGAAAATCTAGTGTATTATTTCTGTCCTGCATAGTTTAACACTGTTTGATGACATTTGGTCCATTATTCGGCATTCAGCTGAGAATTTGGAACTGATTGCCCACGAGCAGTACAAGCTTGTCAGAGTCTGCTCCTCCAAACCACGTGGATCTGGCTGTTGTGAGAAAAATGCAAACAAGACAAGAGGAAGAGAAACCAGATCAGGATAGGAAATGAGTAATTGCTCCTGCAGAAAGGCAGAGCAGGAGGGAGGGACCAAGCCAAGTATTGGACGTAGTTCCTCCTCAGTATTCCCAGAAAGGCTTTTAAATTTGAAAAAACCAAAAGGCTTTTCTTTTAACAATTTCAGAGTGGCTTGTGTTTAAAACTGGATGCAGAATGTGCTGTGTGTTCTTTTATCCACTTCAAAGCTGTAGTTTGTGCAGACAGGGTAAACAACCATAGGTCACTCAGTAAATCTGGGTCGTGGAACTGAGAGGAAGTCAGTCCAGTGTTGAAAATGAGGTCTGCCTGTGTATGGAAGCTCTACAGCAGTGTCTGAAAGGGACACTTGCTGCTGGTTCACCTGGGACAAACCAAGCTGGAGCCTTGGTAGAGAGCACTTTACAGCTTGACTAGAGGCCTTCCTGGGGAAAAGAGCTGAAAATGTCATTAAATACCTCGATTATCAGTTAGGAAATGTGACTGAACTGTGTGAGTTTCTGTGCATTTTTTATGGGTCTGAATGAGAAAATGAAGACCAAAGATCTCATGGGAGATGCAGGCACTCCTGTAAGGTCCTTATGAAAAATAGAATTTTGCTAAACGTATCAGTGTGTGAATAATTTTATACTCTCTTTTTTTAAAATCTTTCCTCAGAAATGTTACCACTTCGTATTCCAGCGCTACCGTCTGGAACACTACACGGTCTCCTCCAATTGGCTGGCTCTGGGGACTGTCCTCCTCTTTGGCCTTTTGTCATTGTCACGCTCTGTTGCCTTATTCAGAGGTTGGTATTTTAGACTTGTTCTGTGCGTTCCTGGGTATTGGTCTTGGCTAGTCTTAGGGCCCGCCAAAGTTAGCACAGTAGAAATAAGGAACATTGAAACTTTGGATGTCAGTGTTGCAAGGAAATGAGTAAGTTCTAATGGTCACCATTAATGAATGATTATATGTGTGTATGTATGTGTATGCATACTCATACGTGTATGTATGAACATATGTATGTATTCATATATGTACGAATGTATCACTAGGTCAGTTAAAAATCTGCTGCCCTTCACCTTCATCCAGTACAACTATACTGATATAAAACCTGTACCCAGACTAATATTAAAGCAGATACTTCAACTTTCAAATGTATGATCCCACTTGAAAAAGCATTTTCCTATTTAAAACTTGTAATTAGGTGCACGTGTACTTAATGAAGATGGATTAGATATGGTCCTTAAGTACTTTCTTGAATCAGAGCCATGCAGTCAGCCTTCCCACCTCATCAATATTTTTTTGATTGATGGTAGCCATTGACAGGACAGGAGACTGTCAATAAAGGTGGTGGGCTACAAGGCCTTCTAAAAGGAGCAGGAGCTTTGGAATCCAGCCACATTTTAGCATAGGCTGATTCATTTATTCAAGAAGTTATCATTTCAAAAGTTATGTCTGAACAATTTTTTGTAGTCTTTCAAAAGCAGTCATGTAAATATCACCTGTTTCTTTAGCCTTATTTACAACTTTCTGCTTTCCATAGGCTACCATGGGCCCCTGGACCTGTACCCAGAATTTCATAGGATTGCTACTGACCCAAGTATTCACACTGTGCCAGAGGGGAGACCGGTTAATGTTTGCGTGGGAAAGGAGTGGCACAGATTTCCAAGCAGCTTTCTCCTGCCAGACAAGTAAGTTGTTTAATGTAAAGGGTGCAATTTGGTGAGATTCATAAGGAGGGGCGCTTCTCATAAGAAGTATTTGTGGGAGTAACCTTCAAGACCTTGTATCTCTGTTGACACCAGTATATCCAAAACAAAGGATTCTAAAGTTTGTTTTCAGCGGATTATGTTGGCCATAAGGTACTGAAAATTTGTAATGTGACTGCTACTCTAGCAGGGCTGTCTACCCTCAGGAATGAAATGTCTTTGGTTATGCTTTTGGTTTTGTCCACACAAAATGTTACTAGCTCCTGCATTTTCCTGCTGGGCTTTCTGACACTGTTCTCTGCAGCTGGCAGCTCCAGTTCATCCTGTCAGAATTCAGAGGCCAGTTACCAAAACCGTTTGCCAAGGGACCAATGGCCACACGGATCATTCCCACTGACATGAATGACCAAAACAAGGAAGAGCCATCTCGATATGTAAGGATTATATTCCTGTTTTCTTTTCCTTACCTTAGTGTATAATTTGTATTAATATAATGCCTATGATTGGGTGTTCCCATCTGGTTTCATGGGGATCATACAAGTTACAGAACAAAAATGGGCTCTCTGCAGAACTTGGAAATTTCCCCATATATTTGAGTGGTTTCTGTTCGTGTTTCATCTGCCTATTTTTCATTTAAAGACATAATGATAATATGAAAAAAAAAGAAGCAGAAGAAGGAATAATTCCTAGTTATTGCAATTTTGGGTTTTGTATAATGTGTTACCGTGATCACAGGAAAGTGAACTGAATGAGTAGTTTGAAATCCCCCACAGAAAATGTTTGTCACTGAGCAGGGATTGAAATTTTCCTTTTCTTTTTAAATGTAACTGTATTCATCATATTTTCAACTAAGGAGGAGGAACTTAATTCGGAACTTCACTGAAACAATTGCATGATTCAATGGGACTCTGTTAAGATAATGTATACTGGTATTATTAATTTGTTACTTTTCCTGGTTGTATTGTGTCACCTAAACAAAAACAGTGCACGCATATGAATATTTTAAAATGATTGTCAGCTAACTTCTTTAAAATTGTTTAGCAGGTTAAATCTTAGCAGTGCACTAAAAATTCTTTGCAGTGCCCTAGATCCTTGGTCATCCTTTCTTTTTTGTCCTAAGGGTTGAATGAGAGGAACTGCCAAGAAACGCACAGTACTTTCTTCATTCTGTCTTAGTACCTTTCAGGATAGCTTTGGTATGCCCATCAGTATATAGGAAGCACTCACATGTAACACACAAGGTCTCTGGTTTATATGAGTGGGTCTGTCCTGGCTGAAGACAGTAGATGTGCTTGTTTATGTGGCTCATTACTTTGGCCTGTTAGACATTGTACAAGGATTTGTGATCTGCTCACAGAAGTGGATGGAATGCAGTATTATAACACAGGAGCAAACTGTGTGGGTAAAAGCAGGGATCAATCTTCTGGGTTAAAGCTGTCTTATTTTGAGCCTCATTATGTAGTTACTGGAAATGGGAAGGAGGCGTGTTCCCACCTGAGAGAAGCTGTCTGCTGCAGTGCAGTTAATTTACGAAATCTTAAACTGTGGCATATTTTTAGCACAGACAGCTGGCTGGTGCACAGCCTGTGACTAATGGAGCAAAACATACTTTTGTTTCATGGTTGTTTCTTAACGTCACCCTACAATTTTGTTATTTCTCATGCAAGCAAAAGGGCCTAGGACATTAGAAATCAGCTACTAAATGTGAATTGTAAATGGGGTTTTAAAACTTTTACTTCTGACCTGCTAATAACACCAAGAGAACAAGATATTTTCTCAAGTGTAGTGATCTTATGACTGCAAGCATACCCAGATTTTTTTAAAAAAAAAAGTTAGCAAGCATTGGAAAGGACCATCATAGCAAATAAATCTAAACAGCATGAGTCTGTTGGGCATTTGAAGAGGAGCAAACAAATGGTTCAAAAGGATTATCTGAGCCATGGACAGCCTAAAACCAATTAATGGTTGCAGAAATGGGACTGATCTCTGTGTTTCAAGTGTAAGTATCTATTACTGCTCTGCTTGAAAATTGAAGAGTAAATCTCAGTGTTTCTGTTGCTATGAGACACTGGGGAAAAGAGTGATTTGATCTTCTTGTTTTGCAATTCTTCCTTCCTTAATCATGTTGAACAGCACTTAACTTGTACTTGTCCTACTGGGGAGATGCATTTGTCTCTGAAACTGCTAAGAAAGAGATAAGGAGTATGATCTCTTACAAAGATGTATCCAAGCAGGAACAGTAGATTAGGCCTAAAAGCTGAAACTGATAAAAACTCCTGATTTCAGCAGAAGTTTTTTTAACCACTTTATTTTCATTTCTTTTCCTATTCCCCTTAGCTCCGTTTTGAACTGTTGGAACCACCTGAATCTTGGTCTCATTTTTGAAATATGTGTTTGAGTGATCAGTAAAACATCTCTGGTTTTGCTCAAAACAGTTGAACTTTATCTGTGGTAAACCAGACAAGCTCCTGTTGTGCTCTGTGTGGCCAGGCTAACATCCATCCAGACACCAGTGAGAGACATGTGGCTGCAGCAGTACAGCAGCAGGCTGTGCCCTTAGCTCCACTTCTGTACTATACCGTCCCCTCTCCTGTTATTCAGGATGTGATCAAATGTAGTTCTCCACCACTTAGCATAGCAGTAGCATCAAATAAAAAAAGAGCGGGAGGAGGAAAAGGGAAGAACAGAAGAGGATAGGATGTAATTTAGAAAATCCTTGCAGCTCCATTCACTAAGACTGACTTCTTTCTACAAAGAAACATTTCAGGGGCTATACACCACCGAAGTCTTGTGTAAATTCCCAAATAAATGCATAGGTGCCATGTTGGCCCTCTGATGAGGATGAATATTATCCTTAGATTCAGTGTAAATTGTAAGAATGCACTGTGCTCTACTTGGAATGGTAGAAGGGAAATCTCTCTTTCACCTGGCAGATAATTCATGTGCATTGGAAGTGCTAGTCCTTTTAGGGGAGCGTTTAGAATGAAAGGAGTGAGATCAGTCTTAGAACTTGAGGCAGTAACTTGTCTTTCTCTGAATGATTCTACGTCATTTACAGAAAAACTTGGTTAGTGGTTTGGGAGTCTTTTTGCTAATGAGCCAGAACCTCTCTTAGGGCCTGGAATATTCTTCTCATACAGTGCAAGAAATGGATTCAACGTTCTCCTCAGCTGAGTTTCCTATGGTGTAATCTCATTTGCCACTCAGTTGTGATGCCAGGGAGCCATCTGGTATCCACCTAATTAAATTGTTTCCAGCCTAAATTGTTACAATAAACCCCAAAGGTGCTTTCAGACAAGTGAATTCAAGCATGTCCAAGGAAGTTTGCAATAAAATTTTGTGGGAGAGCAAACTGAAATGTGGGATACCTCAAGGAAGAGTTTGAGGGAGTAAGACAGAATAAGATGTAGTCATCCTGGAGAACCTCAGTTGCCTGCATTTAAGATAACTGATAGGTAGAGGCCTTTGGAAACCTGCCATAAGGGGCCTTAGCTTTTCATTTGACTTATCCAGCTATAGCTGCCCTGCCTTTTTCTTCACCTTCTCAATCTGGCAAACTCATGCAGTGACTCTAAGGAAGTTTGTTCCCTTGTTGAAACACTTGGGCGTCACACATCACGTTTTTTCTGACTTGATGACATGCATACACTTGTGCAGTCAACAAGACACAACTGTGTATGTAGTGTTCTGCCATTGTTAAGTAAAAGGAAAACTGCCACTTGGGAGAGCTGGCCTCCTAAGGAGAGTATATAGACCGCTCATGAAGGTCATGGGCCCTCTCTGTAAAAGTCAGTGAAACCAAATGGACCAGGACTTGTTGCTCCCCAAACTTGATCATGTTCCTTCCACTGGGCACATAACTTAACTAATGTGAGTCCTCCTCCCAATAGGGTCCTTAGTCTTTCCCTTCCAGCCCCTGGTGCCCTGACTGTTTGCAAAAAAAAAAAAAAGAAAGAAAGAAAGAAAGAAATCTGGAGGGGCCTGTAATTTTACAAAGGTCAGTGATGATCTAACCTTGCAAGAACTCCCTCATGGCGTGTGCATTGAAAAGCTTGTGCATGAAAAACACAAGATTGCAATCTACATTCTGTTCAGGGCCCCTGAGGGATGAACAAGGACCAAGAGTTTATGTCACCAGCTGAGAGACAATTTTTTTTGTGTGTGCACTGTTGACAGGATATGATTATGATGCTGTGTGATGCTGGGGCCATGGAGCCTGTTTCCAGACAATAATTCAGCACAACAATTTGGTTTTGTTGCTGTTTTCAGAAAAAACTTGTAACCAGTTTACACCAAGACGCGTGATGGAATTTCTTAGCCTAGCACGAAAATTTACTTAGAGGTCACTTAGCCTCCTCATTAATTTGTTTCCTGAAAGTGCAGCAGATTGCTCAGTGGCAGGTGTCCCTGTTTATACTTGGGAGCGGGAAGGAAGCATGTTAGAAGCATGCACCTGTCCTCTTGTTCATGCAGTTGGGAGTTCAAACACAGACTTGGCAGCAGCAGGAGCAAGGTGTTTGGAAGGAGCTGGCTGGACCTTTCATTTGCTTGCCAGTTTCCTTGGTGTTTGCTGATCTAATACGGATGGGATTAGATGGCAGAATGTGGCCTGACACTCTGATAACTCTGTCCTGCTGGATGCAGAGATTAGTGGCAGCTGTAAACTGAGATATCACAATTGAAAACTTGGTATTTTTCCTAAACTCCCATGTTAAGTCTCTTTCCTTTCTTCCACTATTCCACCTGGGTGAAACAACTGCACAACTAATGAGACTCATGTTACAATTTGCAAATACTTATTGATCAGAAGTTGTGCCCTGTCTTCTGTTCTATTTAACCTGACGAAAGACTCTGGTGATGCAATTTTTTTTTATATCTAAATACATGTATTCTATTTCCCTGATGTCTCCCAAATCAAAATACCTACTTTATTGAAGGAAGCCCCCAATAATTCCTAGGATGTGCTGTACTTCACTGGTGTCTTTTCTCAGAAGTTTCAAAATACTGTACTACATTTTAATGTACTATGCTTGATAACATATCAGAAGCAGAAGTGGGAATTGTTAGTCCCCTTTGGCAGCTGGGAATACTGGAGTGACACAAGGACGGCTTGCGGACCAAAAGAGCCACAAAAAGCATCTAAGAATTCTGTGTGTTCTGAGTTCATAGAAAGAAATACTGGAGATAGAACTTTCAGGTTAATCTGATTGGAAGTGGCACAAGAGCATAAGATAGTGGCAAGCATCAGTCCTGTTGACTTCTAGTGCTTCTCAGGTCACTGCTGGAAGCTTTTGCCAGGAAACTCAGCCAGTGCCAGCTGTGAGAAAGTGTGACCCTTGGCTGCCAAAACCTAGTGTCAGCAAAATACCCAACTACAGAGGAAAGAACGGGTAGGACTCGCTCTGCTCCAGTGGCTGAAAATCATTATGCCAGCAAAAGCTCAGCCTTGCTGCTGGAGGGGCTCATTTTTTCTGGTGTATTGTAATGATATAGCTACCCTGGTACAATTTAAACATGGCCTTAGGCTTGGGATTATTTCACCTTTGAAAATGTGACTTATATCACTTAAAGACAATTAGATGTTCAACAGGAGGACATCAACCGTTATTTGTAACCTGTCTTCTCCTCTAGATCTCTTACGCTCATTGCGGCGGTTTCTACATGATGTAGCCTCTTGTTGGGCTACCTTGTATGATACTTACCTCACATCTGATGGTTATTATTAAAAATAATTAAAGGAAATTTGTCCTGGTAGGTACTCAAGCCCTCTTTGTAGCTGACAGTTCACGTTTGTCTTGGCAGAGTTTTTATTCCTCAGCAGCTCAAGGGCACATCTGTAGGCGTACCTGCGAGGAGTGGGGAGAAGAGTGCAGGAGGTGGGAGCTGTTAGCCAGAAAGGACACAGGATATTCATATAAATGAATAGTACAGACTGTTCATATCCAGGAGCACTCTCCGCAGCAGGAAGAAGGTTGCATAATGTGAGTCTCCTGAGGACATGGCCCACAGCTCGTTTAACTAGGAGGTCACACACATAATGCATTTCTGTGATGTTGCTTCCTCGATTGCATTTTCATAATTTGGCAGGGTGTCACCAAACATTTTGGTCAGGGCAGAGCAGTTACTTGCGTCATAGGCAGCTGATAAAGGCATGACTGTACTGATACCAAGTTCACATGGTCTGAGAGGTGCAGTATGATGTCCATCTGCTGCAAGTGAGGCAGTGGGGGTCATCAGTGCTACAGGACAGGTTATTCATGCACGAACACCACCATAATTTGGGCCAGACAACAAGCTTACTCTACTGGAACTACTTATTGTTTTCCATGATTCTGCTTAAGCCTTGCCATGAAATGACAGGACCGGTACCATGAGGCTTGCAGAGTTAACAGGTTGTGGAGTTTGTATGATCCTTGTGGGTAACCCGTATTGGTCTGTATGTGTTCCGAGCCAAATGTGCTGGAATTGTGTGCAAATGATTGCAAAAGCACTTCCAAAGAAGGCATGAAAAATCAGATGAGCGAGGGGATTTCTTTTGCAGAAAGTTGGCAGATACACTGTTTCTTACAGGAGAATAAACGGAGGAGTGTGAGGTACTGGTTCCTCTCAGCCTGATCTAGCATGTACTTTGTTGTCTTCCTTGGGCAGTGGGTCAAGCCTTTATTGTGTGAACTTGACTTTACATTCTTTATGGCCAGGGCAGCACCTATACAAGGTGTTAATCAGCAGCGTCTTTGGATATTTATACATTACAAACAGTTCATGATCATGACAAATGAGTGCTCAGTTGGTACACTTGCCAGCATCCATGTATAGTATTCTACTGATCTACAGAAATATTCCTCTGGATGTGCCTTGACATAAGGTGCCCTTCTCACTGTTGTGCATGCGCTTTGAATGTGAATTTCTGTTGAACGTGAATTTCTGTGAATTTCTAACATGAATTGCTGGAGTAGTTATCTGTAGATCACTCAAAATGAGAGGATGTACTGGAAACTGCAAAGTTTCAGAGTTTTTATCAATGATTTGCAGGGGAGAAGGAGGAATAGGCAATAGTCTTATTAAATAACAAAAGATGTGGGAGAAAGTATGTAATAAGAATTCAAAGTGATTTTGACAAATTGGAGAAAGGATCTGAAAATAAAAACCATGACATTTAGTATGGGCAGTGACTAAACAAAAATAATCAGGTGAATACATGTAGGTTGAATACCAGCCAGTTAGGCACAAGTCCTTCAGGAAAGGATCCTGGTGTGCAACGAATCATTGGATGAATACAACTTAGTGATGCCATGCTACTGCATAAAGAGATGAGCCACATAGAGGGTTATATGCCCAGGAGCATGTTGTGCAACTGTGCTTTGCTGCTCTGCGTTAGAAAGTCCTTCATCCTGATTTGGGCACTGCATTCAGGATAGATGTGGCTAACTGAAGACCTACAAGAATGATCATAGGGGTAGAAAACATGACTATAGAGTAAAATAGGGTTGTAGAGAAGACAAGAGCCATCTTCAGATAACAGAACTCTAGTATGTAAAAACTATCACAAAGAAAATGATGTTTTTCTTGTTCGTGATGTAAAACAAGTAAGAACAGGCATGAACTGAGACAGAAAAAGATTCAGTGTAGACATCAGGAAACCTTTCTAACCATAAAGATAGTGAAGCCTTTTACCTGGGGAGCTTGTAGAGTAGGCATTGTAAGAAGTCTTTTAAGTTAGATAACCACCAGGAAAAATATCAGTCGAATTGGTTCTGCCACCTCAAATTCCCCTCTGTGACTTGACAGTTCCCTCAGTAAGAGAGCTGGCAGTGGTACTTCCTCAGAGGGGAACCCTATGACCGGTCTCTCCCTATGACCAGAGCAGTAGTGGTAGCTTGTATTCCCCCATAAAGGTTTTCTTTGAAAACATTCAAAATATTTTACCATGTATCCTGCATGAAGCATTTCACCTGTTGCTAGAAATTTAACCCTCTTCTCATTGATAAGTAATGGCCTGTATAAATGAACACATGCAAACAGAAGCCTACAGGAAATAAACCACAAGAATGTTTGTCTTTCTGCAGACTGACATTTCCAAATGCCACTACCTGGTGGACTTGGATACAGCAGCTGAAACCCCAAGGGAGCCAAGGTATTCCTCCAACAAAGAAGAATGGGTAACCATTGCCTACAAGCCATTCCTAGATGCTTCCAGGTATGTTTTACACATTTGAGAGGGAGGGAAAATGGCTGGGAGTTCTGTGAATTAATTCTGTTCAGTTATCCGCTTGCAAAAGTAGCTGTATACAGGGTGGAAAGACACATTGGCAAATGCCAGCTTGAAATCCAGTTCCCAGTAAAAGCAGCCTGCTGGCTACAGTGGAACCTTTGTCAAACTTGTACTTGCAATATTTATGACCTAGGTTGCTTTAGAGGGTGAAGTTAGCCGAGAAGGCTGGTGAGAAGGATTATTTTTAAAAAGAATCCTCTCTGTGCACTTGCTGAAGTAATGATTTTTTGGTTTGCTTTCTAAAGGTGTATGTCGTCTCCTCCCAACAGACTTTAGAAGCTTCTGTCTTGTTTCAGCCAAATTCAAGACAGGTGTCAGTCTCAAAGAGCATGAGCTCTAACAAATTTTATGAAAGCTGGCAGACAGAGAGAGGAGGCAATCTCATTGAGTGAAAAGTCAGCACAGTCACACCTTTATTAGGCATCAGAGAATCCATGGAAGAGACCTCTGTTAGAATTCATTCTTCATTAGTTCTACTGCTCACTGAACAACTTGCTTGCGTGTCTGAACAGGAATTTCTGTGAGAAGCAGAGATTGAAATTGCTCTCCTCCAGGCTAACAGGGGGTGGAATCAGGGTTGTCAAACTGGGAATGTTATTAATACATTCCTGCAAATACAGAAATCCTCAGCTGTCAGGGGATGGTTATTTAGTCATCTAAAGCTCTGGTCATGTAGCTGTCATAACAGGACAGAGAGGCTGACTGGAAAAAATTCCGTAAAAAACTAACACAGAGTTCAGTACCCTCCTGTTTTCTATGTGAGACCTTATTACTTCCTAGTGACAGAACCCTCCAGGGAGGGGGGGCTGGTAAAAGCAGTTGAACAGTGAGAAAGAGTGATAATGTTAGAGCAACTCCCAGGAGTGCTGTAATGTTCCCAGCTTGCTGACACAAACAAGTTTTCTTGGCAAGGTTTTTCATGAACTGTGTTTTCCAAGAGACCTGCTGTTAGATTTGGGCACGACTTTAGGAAGGGAGAATGAGATGGCCAGTGAGTCTTATTAATGAGGCAACAGAAGCATCTGCATAAGAGTTTTGCAAAGGACTCCTTGTGCAGAGCATATACCCCTGAATGTGCATTTCTGCTTTGAAGACACATTCGTGTGTTTTTAAAGCAGGTTTATCTTGCTGTCCTCTGCTGAACAGCCAAGCTTTGATTGTTTGGACCTGGTCTAAAATCCTTTGAAGTCAATCAGAGGCAACGAGTCAGGCCCAAATGAGCCTTTAAGACACCTTGGGTTAACCACGGGGATGTAATTTGCTACGGGTGCTTTCAGAGGTAGCAGCTGTCAGTTGCAGGGATGATAGCCTGCCTAATGAAAGCCAAGTGAATTATTCTGGAATGGCTGTACATCTCGCAGACTTCTTCAGAATGTTCTGAATTCTCCATGGCTTCTTCCCACATGTGCTCACTTTTCCTGTACTTTACTGATGTTTGGTAGAGAAGGAGTTGGTCTGTCTCATGGGACTTTTTGGATTATTGCACTTTCAGACCCACCCCTAGCCTCTGAGCTTTTGATTAAAGCTCATGAGAGACATGCCACTGCTCTCTTCTAAACCCTTTTCATATATCCTTAGAGGCTGTGCCCTGATGAATACAAACCAGCATCTGTCTGGAAGCTACAGCACAGTGTATCGGCTCCTTTTATGGGGAGAGAGTTGAGTCTGCAACTGTAGGTCTTACCACAGGATGGACACCGGTGTTTCCACTTTCACCCAGGCTTTTTTGTTCATTCCTAACTTAGCTGGAGATTTTTCCTGTAAGGTGCGTGTACATCTGATACCATCTCAATCCTGACCCTGCTGCAGCCTGCAATGCTAACTGGAATCAGTGCAAGGAGTTAAGCTAGGGCCAAACTCAGTACTGAGCTGAGTCCTTGTCACTCTCTTGACTGCTTTAATGCTTTCTGCATAAGTCACTCTATGACATTTTTCTTTCTTCTTTTTCCCCCTTCTTCTTATTAGGGGAAACTGATAGGATTAAGGAATTTCCCTATTTACAGCTAAACCCCTGCGTCCTGCCAAGCATAAATATCTGCCTGGCTTCTCAGGAAGTTGGCTGAATACATAGGTAGATGCAGTGTTGCAGCTCTGTGCTTTTAGGGGAAATGCTGTCAAAGTACTTCCTGCCAGACTGAGACTGGTAACTTATTCCCAGGCTTGGCAGTGAAAACCTGTGCAATCATTTTGGTTTGATACATGATACTGCGTGTTGCATTTAGATCATCTAAAGTCCAGCTAGATTCCCAAGCTCTGTGTTTCTCATTGGCTAAGTATCTCTGCAAGCCTGCAGCCAAACTCCAGTAACCCACTCAGTACAGGGATGCCATTTTCTGTGTGTGGTCCTTCATGTCTGGCTTGTGAAGGGAGCGTGCATGTGGCTGTTACCACTGGAAGTAATAGGTTGGCTTATTGTAGCAAAGGTAGCATCTCACCATGGAGCACCAGCTTGTTGTGAGAAGCTGGGAGTCACAGAGAGATCCCGAAACTTCAGAGCATACTGACCCTGGCAATAATGAGATGTAAAGGCAGAACACTGGGGGTGGGGAAAGGAGAGCAAACTCCCTGGTTAAGCAGTCACCAAGACCTTAGCACAGATCATCTAAAGGTGGTGGGGAGGGAAGGGGATCTTTTTGGCTGCTGTGTCCTCCTTAACAAAAGATGCTCTTTCATTAGTGGGAGACTGGAATAGAAGAGGGTTTGCAGAGCATGTCCCAAGAGGAGATCTGGCAGTCAGATCCTTAGCCCTGCTAGTCACCTGTCAGCCTCCTCTGCTCCTGTTCTTGTGCTGCATGGAAATTCTCCATGCTGTTCCTTATCAACGCCTCACAGCTGGAGCAGAGGGGTGGTGTGGTGCCTTCATCAGTGGAGGAGGCCAGGTTGCCATAGCAGCAGGTCTGATTTCCATCCCTGCTTGTTAGTACCTCCAGAGCTCCCACAGTTCAGAGCGCTGGGCTCTGTCCCTTCGGCAGACCTTCAGCAATCAGCAGGTGGGGCAGCTCGAGCGCACAGTGCTGATGAAGGACTAGAAGGGCATGTATCTGGCATGTATCTGGGGGGTATCACAGATGCGGAGGGATGAAAGAACCAGCAGTGTCTCCTCATCTTGTCACCCTGCTTGCCTGACAGATTCTCTGTTCTCTGTGAAGAAGAACAGTAAGCCAGGAACCATGGCCTGCCTGGCAGGGGAAATGTGTAGTCATGGGCACAGCTTCCCAAGACAACTCATGGTACAGTGAAGAGCTGAAAGAACAAACCATTCAAGATCTGATCTTCCCTGGTTTTAGCCAGTGTGTTATTTAAAGGGATCACATTTAAAATTGGATGCTACAGACAAGGTTAAGGCCCCTTTTGCCAGCCCATCCACAACAGCATGAGGCTCTTTTTGGATTGCCTGCTTCATAGTTTTTGTCATATATTTTTCATTTCTTTCTGTAATTTGGCCCTTGGAGAAGAGGTAGGGTAGATGAGTGATTAAGGGGCTCAGCTGGAATTTGGTGCTCCCATTACTCTGTCCAGGTGTCTTAAACCCTCCCTGTGTTGCAGTTTCCCATTTGGACCAAAAGTTTGTTAGCTCCTCGCTTATCTCCAGGAGTTTGTTGGCAATGAATGAAAGAGTAAGGAGCTTCAACTTCATAATAGCGGTGGCAGGTAAATGGTTTTGCATCCAACTATTGGAATTTTGCTGCAAAATCTATATAAAGGTTTCCCATGGCAAATGTTCATAATCGGTCTGTTGAGCTCCTTCTCTGAATGCGTCATAGCATTTCTAAAATAAGACAGTGTTGTTTCGTTTGGTTTTTTTCCCCTGAGTGTGACTGAGTTGTAACTTGCATAAAATAATGGGGCTCAAGCAATTCTCAAAAGGGGATATGACACAAGTTTTGCAGTCGATTGGCAGCTGACAGATGAGTTAGCTAGTGGCAATTGCAGATCTGCCTAGCATTTGAGTGAGATGTGAGGGTCTGTCTCACCCTGCAGACCCACGCATTAGCTATTGTCCTTTTGTTGAGATCAGAAAACCTAATTTGCAAAGCAAGTACCACTGGTACATCTTTCAGTTTGTGGCTGCAGCAGTCTCCCTTGCTGCTAGTCAGCCCTTGCTTTGCTTCCTTCTGTCCTTATCCCAGTCTGTCGGGTACCAAGCCCACTGGAGTGGGCGCTGGAGACCCTCAGAAGGAGGATACTGAGAGTTGCCACTCCATCCAGCTAGAAGGTTCTCCGAGGGCATCAGTGATGCCCTGAGATGGTTTCAGGGATGCAACAAGTACTTCTATAGTCCAGAAAATTGTTGGCAGGCCTAATAGCAGAGAAGGTATGGAAATCCTAGGAAAAACACTTGTGTGTTTTTGTTTCCTTTTCATTTGACACAGCATATCTAGGTAGTGCTGTCTCTCTTAGAGTTGAGAAACTGATCATTCTGGGGAGTTTAGCTGCAGGAGAGCAGCAGTAACACAGTTGTAACAGCATGTTAGGTGCTAGAAATTGGTAAGCTGAAAGGATCCCAGAGCTAGTAGGTCTGCGGGGAGAGTTCATCCCAGGGTCAGACACACAGGTCCGTGGGTAGAGTTAGTGAAGGTACATCAAGAACTCCTATGATGATCCAAGCTGCTCACATTCCTGGGCATGTACCTTCCCCACCCCTCCCCAGTTCAGCAGAATGACACATCTCTCAAACCTGGCGCCTGCTTCCACACAATGATTTGGAAATGTCCCCTGCTACCTATGAAATAAGCGTAAAGACATGATGAAAATGCAGCTTTTTTTATAACAGGGAAGGAGGAACAGAACTGGTGTCCCTCTGAACTGAGCTGTGAGGGAAACTGGCAGTGTGGATTTGAAGTCTGCAGCTCAGTGGCTGCAGTGCAAGGAGCATTTGGGGGGAAAAAAACCATCAAACACCTCCCCACCCAAAACCAAACTCC